CAATATGAACTACTAGTTTAGTCACATCTACTACATGATACTCATCATATCAATATCATAAATATAAGAAAATAGAAAACCAACAATTATTTTCAAATGATATCTTCAGATAAAACCTTTAAATTCATCAAATCATCAAAGTATGAAATATCAATATCTCAATAGTCCTCAATCAACCAAAACTCTAATTGAAATAGCTCAATTGACTTAAATCAAACTCAATTCGATTATGATCTAACTGATCCAACATTAAATCCTTATAGAACCAGTGTGGAATCACCCTAGACTGGTCTAATTTAGATTTTATTGATCTCGCTTAGGTCAAATAGGTTTGAACTAGTGAAGTTAGTGTGGAATCACCCTAAACCGACTTTAACTGATCAAACCTATTTGATTTAGTCAATTAATGAGCTCGAACTAATAGAGATGGAGGAAATTGGAATGTCATATAGTGCTAACCCAAACCGAATCAACCCACCTGAGTCTTGGACGGGTTACATACACTGCATATACATATTCCACATACACTGCATATACTTGTTCCAAGTACTAAGTTGAGTTAAAGTACGACGGGTTATATAAAAGGAGCGACTATATGTCTAATGCCAATCGTGTAGCTGGGCAGGCTTAACTTCATGAACTAGGCTAAGCCTCACTTATAAGTTGGGCCGAGCCTTGCCATTAAACTAGGCCTTGTTTGGCTCGTGAGTTGGTCCTAGACACATGAGTTGGGGTCGTATCTAACCACATGGATTAGGTCGTACCTACCACATGAGTTGGCCGATGCCTAAGCACATGGTTGGGTCATACCTTACCATATGAGTTGGGTCATACATGACCACATGGACTAGATCAAGCCTAGCCACATGAGTTGGCCCATTCCTAGCCACATGGTTGGGTCGTACCTTACCACATGGGCTGAGTCATACATGACCATATGGACTATATCGTACTTAGCCACATGGGTTGGGTCATGTCTAGCCACATGGGTTAAGTCGTATCTTACTATATGGGCTGGCTTCTACCCGACCACATAGGTTGGGTCATGCCAAGTCATATGGGCTTTGTTGTACTTGATCACATGAGCTAGGTCGTACATGACCACTTGGATTGAGTCGATTCGATCTGATCCATCAACTTGACTCAAGCCAAACCCCAATTAGACTCCTCTTATCAAATTAGATTTCAACATTTAAAATTATTAAATAATAACTCAAATTCATTAATTAAAACTTTAAATTCATGATCTTAAATTTAAATCTAATTACATTATAGAAATTCATACATAATTCTTGAAACATAGATATATCTAATTAAATAAATTAGAACTACTATGTTAATCCAAAAATAAGAATTTTAATAATTAAATCAATATTAAAATTCACTTAAGCACAAGAGATCAAGATAAATCAAATAATTATTATAACATCTCAAATCAATTATCATTATTTACTACTCATGAAATTTCAAAAGTAAAACATCATTATGCATCATAAAATAGTAATAATCTCAATATCAAGATTTTAAAACATAAATCAAAGCTAATTGAAAAAGAAAGGATCCTATCTCTCTTCGATTATCCTTCTTAAATATCATTTTCCTGGGAAATCATCTTCTCAATCCTCCCATTGTTAGGCTTAGTCGAGAATGAGGGAGAAGTAGTCTGAACCAAGTTTCAACAGAATAGAATAGGTATTAATAGTTAACTTAGGAGAGTAGTTTAGCCTCCAAATGATTTTATTTTAAGTTCAAAATTAGTGTGTATTTAGTACTATATGTCTCCTAGTTTTCTACAAAATTTTATGATAATGTAAGATCTTTTTTGTCAGCTTAAATAGTGAAGCAAAATTTCTTCTTAGAATTGTAAGATGGGTTGAATGATGCTAACTAGTTCATTTGATTATAGAATAAATTATTAAAAAATAGTAATAAAATTTAGATGAATTTTTAGGTTAAGTATAGTCTATTTTATTAAGGATTTTATCAAATTTTTTCTAGAAATTTTTTTATGAATTATTATAAATCAATAATTCAAGAAATAAGGTTCTTAAGTAAGGCATTTTATGACGCTATACTGCCAATTTGATAGGTGTACCACTCCCTTATACACTCGATCATTAAATAATATGATTTTTCACTGTAAAATAGTAATCATATAAATTATTATATTCATAATGTATTTTGGAAAGCATGTTTCAAAGATACAATTGTCATGAGTTAGGCACGAGCTAAATATGAATGTATATATTTTACAAGCATAAAATATACAAATTATGATAAAAATATCTTGTATATATGCATACATGATGATATGCAGTGTAGGAGTACATGTTTTCTACGATGTACAGTATAAGAGTGCACAGATATATAATGATGTACAATGCATATATGCTACGACATGTAGTGTGAAAATACATATATTACGATGATGTATTGTATGGGAGTACACGTATATGTTATGATATGAGTATAGAAGTTTATGAAGTTACTATATTTTCTACATGTCCATACAAATTTTTTTAATTATTTCGATATAAAATTTTAATTTTTTTAATTTTACATATACTATGTTGTAGAATTATGCTTGCTAAAGAAGTTATAGGATAAGGTGCTTACCATTAATTATCTTATGTTGATGATTTTAAAATACGGTATATATTATATGATATATGATCACCTAAATAAAACTATAAGATTACTAAGTTATTACTCACTTTAGACGTAATGATAATAGTACTCTACCCAAATGATTAAGTAAAAAAAGTAAGCATATGCAAATCTATGCCATATTGACGAATCCTTATGGTTATATTTTTTAATAAATTGTAGACATATTATGTTTGTGTTTTTCTTTGGTTATATATTATAATTATATACAAGTATTAAAAATATTATGTTTTATTATTTTATTTAGTAAGTTAGTAACTTTTAATTTTAAAATTATCTATTTTTTGTTATACTATTATTGATAATAATAATAATAATAATAATAATAATAATAATAATAATAATATGATATCCTAATTTAACCGCACCGTATAGGTGAAACTAGTAATATAATGTTACGGTTCTTATCCTATTGTCCTCTAAAATATTAATTCCTTGCTATTAGGTATCACTACCGATCCATCAATCACATGGAAATGTGGGCAGAAGAGATAGCAACCACATTTGGACATTGCATATCCCCCCAACCACACCACTGAAGAGAAAAGAAATAAAGGGCACTCTCTCCATCAACACAGTCTACTTTTGGAGGTTTTTTTTTTTCTTTTCTTCTCAACATTAAAATATAATAAGAAGAAAAAAAAATTTATGTAGATCTTCTTCTTATAAAGGGGAGTAAAAAAGATGATCTTCCAAATCAATAATCAAGATCTTTATAATTTATCAAATGAAGTTTCATTTAGGTTGTCTTTCCAAGACCACAACATATATCTATCGATTTCATTTAAACCTAACATGAACAATTACGCAGGTGTTTGACCTGACGAATCAAACTAAAAGGTTATTCAAATTTAAAAAAAATTAAATTGATCTGAAAGTGAAAATTCTGAGAATTGATGAAGTACCCATGTTTTCAATCTAAACGACTAATTGTGTAGGGACCAAAACTCTAATCTATCGATAAGTATTTTTGGAGTTCTAAGATGATTTAAATATTTTGAAGGAATCCTAATTAGATTCTAACTTTGTGTAAGATTAGGACTTAGGATTATGAATTCAAATAGAAGATCAGTTCTTAGTGAATTAGGAACAAGATCTAATAAAATACTTTAAATATTTATGAGTTTTCTTCCACGAGGTCTAAAAAGATGAGAGAAAAGTGAATAAATGATATGTTATTATTATTAATTTTGAAACTCTTTTCTCCCTCAATATTATTTATAATTCATTCAAAATTAAAATGAAAGGTACTTGAATTCTCAATAGCTGCCCTCCCGTGATCATGGTAAATAAACACAAAAAACCAAGCAGGAATTTATGTCAGCTTGTAAGCTTTTACCATTTGATGTGAAGTATATGAAAACGCTGGCGATCGTACTCGACTTTGTCCATTAGCAGCTCTCGCACTGCTGCTTCTCCGTACCCCCAATTATTTCTCATCTTTTATGTCCTTGCCAGCTGCTCCCACCGAGCAAGTCTGAACACCATCTCTCTCTCTCTCTCTCTCTCTCTCTCTCTCTCTCTCGTGGAAACGGGGCGGATGCTTCCCATCAATTTCCTATTGCTCTCTCTCTCTCCGCAGTGGGAATGGGGCGGACGCTTGCCATCGATTTCCAGTCTCTGTCACAGGTCGAAGGGACGATGAAATTTCCATGTTACAATAAGAACAGTAAAAGAACAACTCTGGTTAGCTTCTCAAGTTAAGGACATGTTTATGGTGGTGTCTAAACCGAACGATACTATTGAGTCCATTACATTTCAACGAGATTGATTGATTTCATACGATTCAAACGAATAAGACAACATATTTTGAGTTCGCAGTTCTAATTTATATTCCTTTTCCAATGGACTTGCTTCCAGTTTACCATGAACTTTCAGCTATATATATATACTTTAAGGACAATGATTTAAGCTTTGTTTCAAATCTATTCGAAACATGATATCTAATATCTACATTAATCCGTTGGAAATTTTATTTGATTCGATAAATATCTATTTGATTCTATTGAATATACTATCAAACTTTTTTTACGAGAAAAAATAATTTCATGGACAGCCCTCAATCCATCTATAATTTCGATCATATAAATTTCATGACACCGCATATACTTCTTTAAGAAAATTATGATATTTTTATTTATAGAAGGGTTTATCTAAAATATGCATATTTTGAAGATTTACATACAAGAAGGAAACTACCATGTTGTCTTTTCCCTCCTATTCCCTTCTCCTATATCGGTTTGGGATCAATAACGGGTCGGATCGAATACCCGACCCGTTTCCCTCTTCTTTTGGCTTATATTACAGTCTCCTTCCCTTCCCCACGCAATGATTCCTCGTCCTGTCATTCCCACACAGTCCGCCATGTCCTCCTCCTCCTCCCTTCTTCTTCTCCTATCCTTCTTCCTCCACGTCGTCCTCCTCTTCCTTCCCTCCATCGTCGTCGCGGAGGTCGAGTCCCCGGCGTCGCCGTCGAACGGCACCACCATTTACGATCTCCTTCCGCAGTACGGCCTGCCGCCGGGCATCCTCCCGGACACCGTCAAGTCCTTTTCCGTCGCCAGCAACGGCCGCTTCGTCGTGGACCTCTACGGCCCATGCTACGTCGACTTCGAGTACCTGGTCTACTACGCTCCCCGGGTGTCCGGCGTCCTCAGGTACGGCGCCATCGGCAACCTCGAGGGCGTCCAGGTCCGCCGCTTCCTCGTCTGGTTCGACGTCGGCGGCATCATGGCCGACCTCCCCTCCTCCGACTTCCTCTACTTCCAGGTCGGCTGGATCACCCGCAAGCTTCGCATCGACCAGTTCCAGACCGTCCACTCCTGCAGGGGGAGCCTCTCGCCGCTCGGCCGCGTCAAGGAGGTCGCCCGTTACGTGCTCGAGGTAATGTCTCTTTGTGTCCGATTATAAACTGCTGTTTGACTACTAATTATGATTGATTCGTGCATTGTTGGTTGTTTTCTGAAGAAATAATGAAATTATTTATCCTCAATAGGGAATAATAGAATAAAAGATGTAACAAACCATTTTTTATTTTTTATTTAAATAAAATGCATAAGAATTAATTAAGGTTCACTTAATTCACGAATAAGAAAGGGAATTAGAGATCCCAAGTTCTCGATATCCATTAGAACATGTAAGCCTCACAAAATTTGCCAAGTTGTGAGCCGCAGAGTTCAATCTTCAAGGAATGTAAAACAAGCTTCTCCTATCACAGTGACTCCTGCCAGGGTTAACATGGTATGGGAAGCTTTTGCTTGATAAAGTATGGTGTATGGTTCAATACGGTGGACTTTGACGAGGAAAAATATGCTCCACTTGGATTTTAAGCAAAGTAAAAGCAGACTGATAAAAACCTGCTTGCAATTTTCAAGTTCAGCCGATCCTTCTTGCTGCATATTGGAACAAGGAGATTTCTTTCTAAGTGATAATTAGTGATATAATAACTTTATAAATTGTCCAACTCGGTTCTGATCACTGATACATCATTTGTTGTTAAGAAAAACATTTATCCCTATATGAAATGTGAGGATATTGGTAATTTTCTTGGTACTGGAACTATTATGGAATTTGTTACATTTTAAGGTCTAATAACAGGATAATTAATTACAGGGTTCATCTAGTTATCTCCCTGAAGACTTGTAAAATATTGGATTTATCCTTTTAAAATGTCAAAATTTATTCTATGTCCCTCTAAACCTCAAATTTTATTATAAACATCCTTCTGAATATTGCTTATGAAAGGATATCAATGGTATATATTTTTTGAGCTTGGGAAGAATATACAATATACCTATCATGGCAACGGGTAAAGCCAGAGTTACCCATTTTTTAGGGTTATGGTTGGAATATATGAAAACTTAACTTTTTGGTTCCTTTCTTTCCTTCAAATTATATCTGAGCATATACCAAACACTATTATTTGTTTATTGTCCATTTCAGAGCATTTTCGCACCTCAACTATGATGATGAAGTAATGTGAGAATGAAAAACCAGCATGCAGACACATACAAGTTGTACGGGTATTTTCTTAGAAACCGTCGAATCGATAAATACTGCCCTTATCAACTTACAGGGTCGATTTTCTGTTTCATGGCATGATACTATGATTGTAGGTTTTCACCGACAAGATGGTGGAGTTGTAAGCAGTAACGTTGATCGAACTGTTTTTTCTTTTAGAACTGTATGTTTGTATTTTTCAACATATTGTCCGGACCACTCCCTATAAGATGACATAAACCACAATTTTGTGAAGCTTTTATCAGGCTGAAAATTGAATCACATGCATTTTACATGCTGCTTATAATGGAACACTTGGTCAAGGCAATCTCATGGGTGGGTACCTTTCAACTCTTTCTTATCTCAAGTATGGGTTCCAACCAAGGAACAGTCATTCCACTCTTCTGGATTGAGCTTCTTTTCAAGTGAACAAGCTCTAGTCTTTCTTCTCCAGAACTATAGGGTTAATTGTTACCGGATCGCCTCAGTCCACCTCAGAATTATGCTCTGTGCTTTAATCTTTCTCCTCTTCTTATGTAAATCCTGAATCATATGCGTACCAATAGAGGAATGCATGAAACACAAGATTCACAGATGATCCTGTGGCTTATTGTTTTCAGGAGCATTTGGTGTGTGAAAGAATTTGTCTATATCCTGTTTTATAGTGTTTGGGATTTCTTCTGCCACCTCAAATATCAACCTCATTTGTTTGTTGTTCTTGTACTCGAGGATGTTCTCATATCTTGCATTATTATGCTTCGTTTGGCCTTATGCAGTTTTGGTCTTAAAACTTAAATTGGAAATAAAATTTTAAAATCATGTTTAAAACATGATATAATTAAATTGTTCTTCAAAAATGTATTCGTATACTAAGCATTTGAAAATTAAGGGTATGAGTTTACCACATCCCAATAAACGACAAGACTTGTATATTAGTAAAACTTAGTAGAAAATAAATATTTGACTAAAACATTACAAATCACAAACTTATTTTCATAAATCTCGCAAAGTCGTAAACTAAAGGTTAATGCGCTTGTGCGATGCATACAAATACTAAGAGACAGTAGCTTAATTATTCACATAATCTATCCAACTATTTGAATCGGAGCATCATACCTTTCTTCGCCCCCTTGCCATCCTTCCTCCACCTTCACCCGTTGCAAAGCAGTCAGAATGGCCATTTCCCTCCACCTGAATAGCACAACCTCCGGCACAAGCAGCACATCCTACAGCAACAAATCCTTCCTACCAATAACTTGATCGCATATCCGATACCTGCATTAGAAGAACATTCTTCATTAAAAAAAATCCATCACACTCGATATTGAAGCCATCATCATCCAGATTATGAAGGATTAGATCTAGGCTTGATCGGGCAATCCTCTAAGGTAGATAGAGATCCCTTAAGCTGTCATTAGTGGTACGTAGCTACCTACCACCCTCCTGAATAGGGTTTCTATCCACCACTCACTGCAAGAAAGACTACCTCATCTTCTTCTAGCAACCATCTATCATCACACTAATTATCCAGGTCACTGAAATCAATCTAGAAGCTTCCAGCAAATCTCCCCCACACCAACCTAGCAAACCTGCAATGGAATAAGACAGTGTTGTGCAGATTCACTACAGATTTAGCAGACAGGACACATGATAACCTGCGAACGCATGAAGCTAGCAAAATACTCCGATGTAGGCAATCTATTTCAACATAGCTTCCACAAGAATATCTTGATCTTTGGGTAAAACATTGATTTTTCATATCACCCCCCAGCCAAATCAATTATCCTATCTATCTAGGTTGAACACTCCCATCTCAACAGGTGATAAGCACTACTTGTTCTAACACAACCATTGAGAGTCGAAGCCCAAACCCATGTGTCATCATCGGGATTCCTAGCCAAGTAGATTCCTATAATTATCTTCACTAACTAACTTGGGATGAAAACCACCATTCGATATCTCATGACACTATTTATTTCCCACTACCAAATTAGTAACAAATGAAAAAGAGTAGACCAACTCCAAATTTACAAAAGCGGGCTAGTGGTTCAAAGGAATAATATCAATCCAAGGTTCATACCATACATCAGTTTGTAAGCGAGATGCAAGACACCTCTTAAAACCCAACTGGACCTCACCCACTAGCTTCCACAAGTTACTCCAAGTCCATGAGCACCCCTAGATTCTGAAGAAGACCCAAGGGGACAAAGCCCCATATTTAGATATGAGCACATTAACCTAAAGCAACTCCTCATTATTGAGGAGGGGGAATAAGCCGCTTGACACACCGGCTGCTTCTAGTCATCCTCGAGTCTCTAATCTTCAGTCCCTCCTCTTTAGGCGAGGTGACAGTATTGCCAACCAATAAGGATATGTCTAGTTTAAGCAAAGTCAAGGCCATCTATCTTACTGTGAGATTTAGACATAGTATAGGCTAACTCATGAAATATAATAATATTATCATGAATATTTCTACCAGTCACAAAAGGTGATTGAGACTGGTTTATCAGCTCGTTTAAAGGAGGTTTATTCCTATTAGCTAGTATTTTAGAAAGGATTTTGTAGATAACATTGTATAGGGCAATATGTATAAATTTATCTACCTTAGTGCTTTGGGGCTTCTTAGGGATAAAACCAAGTAAGTCCTATCTTAGGATACTGGTATATTACTCTTCTTGGAAAAAAAAGAAATGCCTTAAATAAGAATCGGTACACAAATCTCTTCATAAGTGAGGGGTTTCATCAAGTTTTCAACCATAGCAGAATATTGGGCATGGGGTATTGACTCTAGTCAACATCCATTCTAGTATATTCTTTTGATTAGAAACCTAGTGATCCAATTATTACATTTCCTATTAATAAGAGAGTAAAAATACTTTGTGTTCGTATCCTCACCCTTAAGCCAAGTGGTCTTGGCTTTGTTCCACAGAGGTGGTGTTGATGGTTTAAAGCTTCCATTTTATTATAAAAATATTGAAGAGTGACGATCTCCTCCTCATAGATGATCTCACACTTTCTTTATACTCAAGCTCATTGATTCCTTTCTAAGTCTCATGAGAGGCATGATTAGGGTTGTCTCCTCCCTTCCTATTCCACCTACGTAGAGTTAACCTCATTTTATTCAGTTTCTCACTCATGGTACTTTTAAGATTAGAAAACTCAATATCTGTTTCACCGACTCCTTAACCACATTGTACTTAAGCTAGTGGAATTTAAAGGTGAAACGTCTTCTCCCATAGGCTTGTTGGCCACTATTGATACTAATCAATAAAGGAGTATGATCAAAAGTAATCCTACGATAATAGAATTAGAGAAACACTTAATCAAGACATGGTTAGTATACACTCTATCTAGACGAGTAAGGATCCAAGTAGCTCCCCTCCCGTTAGTACTCTAGATAAATCTATTTGATACCTAAATAGATTACTTCCTAACAAACAACTACTTATGCTAAATATTTTTGACTGATATACAATTACCATCATTTAATATTTCTCTAATTTTATTCTATTTTGTTATCATAAATTATTATCTAGAGAAAAATTTTTTTTGATTATCGTTCATTGACCTTATTCTTTAATGAGTATGTTTTGAAAAGTCAATTTGAGATAAGTATATATACCCTAAGAGTACATGATAGATAGTGGATGCCATGAGCTCATATAAACCAATATTATTACCTCAACTTATACTCTAGAAATATAAAAAGAAAAGCTATCTTTGGGACTCGAACTCTAAGCATCCAAGTTGTTAAGACGAAATTTTATGGTTTTAAGATTCATTGAGATTTATTATAAGCCATCTTTAGCTTAGAGATAATTTATCATTAATTCTTGTGGAAAGTAGATAGAACCGAATGAATGCTTGAAGAAGAAAATATTGAGGATGTGAAGTGTTTAACATTATTTGACTTTATAGTGACTTAACTAACTTATAATGATACATAGCAAGTTAAACATGGTTAAAACTCACATGGTTATTGCAGGCTATCATGGCCTAAGAGATCGCAAAGATCACTTTGGAGTATTCCTAGATTGATGCCACGATATCAAAGGGCTTTAAGGCACCAGCTATAATAATGTCAAAAGCCACTAATGCATATTCTTGTTATAAGTAAAATAATCTATGTGACACAATGGATATTAACACATCATCAAGTTTAATTATCTCTTGGATATATAATTGAGCATAGATCTATAGAATAACTAGTACGAATAGATAAGAAGTAAAATTTCATTATGTCCCTTGGTTGTTTTAGGTAAACCCATAACAAAATTTATGCTAACCTCTTCTCATTTATATTAAGGTCTTTGTAATGGTTTCAATGTTTCTATTGGTCTCTTGATGTTCGATTTTGATTTATTAACATGTGAAAAACTTTTCAACAAATTGAATCATATTCTTTTTCATTGTTGGCTTTCCTTGTATATTTTGGTTGTTCCAGTTGTTTCAAAATGTATTGAGTCTAGAAATGAATATTCATATAATATTCATTAGACTTGTTGGATTGATGTATTGGTGAACTATTTTATTGTATGTCAAACTTCAATAATATTTATGCTTTGATGAAAAATCATATTAAAAAAAATATCTATGCCTAAAAAAATCACATGTTTATATATAAGTAAGAGATCTCAATCTTCTGGTTTTATGTAATATAGCATAATGCTTTTCTCCAATCTAGAAAGGGCTTAGCCCACAATCAACATATCACAATTTTTCCAAATTAAATTCAGGTTGTCTTGTTTATGTCCACACACATATCAAATAGATTCACCAAGTGAACAATAATTACCGATCACCAAGTGAACAATAATTGCCAATGCGGCCCACATGAAACCATTGTTCATTCGACATCATGTTTGTGATGATGCAAAGTGGTATTTGAGGTTGGATAGTGACTCATACACATTACAGAGCTTAGACCACAGCTAATGCGAGGATCATTTGTATATATACATCGAAATATAAGGATCAAACAATTTTTATAGACTTTTTTTCAAATATAATAAATATTAATTGATCATATATTTCATTATAATTATATGCTTCCAAGTATTATTTACTAGCACCAAGGGATACGTGAAAACATGACAATTCTCTAACATGCGAAATTGATCGTCTACTCTTTCTTCCTGTGCTAACATGCGAAACTGGCCATCTACTCTCTCTTGTGGAAATTGATCATCTACTCTCTCCTCTTGTGCCATTTATCTTCGTTATCAGGGGAGCGACTTCTAACAACAACAAAGGTACCAAAAGCTGCACCCAGCATGTTCAATTAATAAGAAAAAAGAAGGTTGAGATGTTCTGATATAGAACTTGACATAGAACATAATTCTATGTAGATTCTGCAGAGGAAAAAAACCTCCCATCCCAAGCATTGTAACCCAAGGTTACGTTCTTGGAAGTTTCTGAGATACTAATTACATGCAAAATAAGGAAAAGGGAGAAACTATATCGAAAGGGGAGATGAGGTGTACATGACCCTCCATTAGAAATTTTAAGTGAGAAAGAATTCCCTTCATTAGAAATTTTAAGTGACAAAAGAATTATTTTATGACTACAATGCTCCTACTTTAAATTTTCAAAAAGAAAGAAATCCTCTCTACATTATTTATTGAAATATGGACTATTCTAATTTTTCTAAAGAGCACAAAGAGAAATGCGCACAAAGTGGTTCTTGTGATCAGCAGTCAGCAAACTTAAAGAAAAGAGCAATTCAAAAGGGTAACCCGGAAGCATTTTACCATATTCCACTAGAAACAGATTTAGATTATTCATTCTGAATTGGCATGATAAGATGATAACCACAGAAGCAATAGTTATACATTTAACTAACTGCAAATTACTTAAAACTACAAGAAAATACCAAGAATTTAGTCCACAGACAATAAAAACCAAGAAATCACCAAGAATTTAACCTTGTAAGATTTATTATCAAGATCAATAAAAAGAGATCTGTTGCCATTTTTTCATATAGGAGCCCAATGAGTTACTACATTAAAAGTTTTAAGTAAACTAAGCACTGGCATAAGGTCTAAACTATTCTTGGAGACAAGTGAGCAATGAGATGCAAAAAATAAATTTTGTTTGGTGGTCCCCAAGTAAAACATATATTGGATGGATACTTGTTCTATTATCTATCTATCTATCACAACTTTGCATCTTTAGGAGTCGCAATTGCCTCAGGTAGTCCAACAAAGGAAAAGCAATTACCAAATTATTCCGACTGAGCATTTAGAGCTACAAATACATTATATATAATCAATGTTTCTTCCCCTGACATAAGTACTAGCGAATAGCTTTCTAAAAAAAGAATTCATTACTTGATCAAAACAGGAATTACAAGTAACTACTATATCATGAGAAACCAAAACATACTACAGATCAGCAGAATAAAAGTATCCAAAAAAGATCTGAAGATTGTCTAGCATGTACTGCCAACCAGTTGGCTATATATGTCTTCCTTATAGATGTGTTTGACTTTGTAAAGTCGAAGGGAGGGAGCTCAATATGTGAAAGATAGTTCCAAACGTGTTGCTCGGTCTCCGCAGCACTTTGTGATTGTCTTTACTAGTGTTAAAACGACTAGAAAAGATAATTTGAACAATTATAGTCATATTTCGTCAGTTGCCTACACCTTTTTTCGTAGTTTGCTAAAGATCCAATAGGCATATCTAAAAATCATTTTTAGTAAGCAACCCTAAATGCTGTGGCCCTATACAGAACTTCCAAAATAATTATCCTATATCACTCATCAACATTGTCAAGGACAAAACCTTCCAAGTACAAAGAGCTCTTCTATAACAAAAAACATTCACTCAATCACAAATATCATCGACATGGCTCAGAATAATGGGAGAACAGTTGATAACATGTAAAGACTGATAAATTCATTTCAGATTTTTAACTGTTCAGAAATATGTTCAGTACCAAGACCGGTCTGTGAATTTAGGAAATGCATCATATTATGGATTAACTCTTTCCAATCAACGGATGTTGTCATCCTGCAAACTGATGCTAACCACCATGCAAGGTAGAAATAAAGACCACATTATCCTTTTCCTCCAGCTCAGTGTCGAGGCTGCCGCATAGTTCCCAGTCACAATCGTTTATGAGTACCAGCACACCCGGTCTCCTACACACCCAACAACCAAACACCACTCACTAACTCAAGAAACGAAGACAACGAAACCCTAACTTAACACAATCACATCATCAAGATTAGATTTTTCTCATCTAACAGAAAAACTTACACCGAGTCTCCTTTCATAAACATCTCTGGCCGTTCCTTGATCAAATTCGACTCGACCCAAACCAATAGGTCACGCATCGTTAGCTGCGAGTTACGCCACCCACAAGATCACGAGCTATAATGATCTTAAAATGACGGCAGCGAAATGATAGATTCGTACCTTGTCCTCTCCGGGCTTTGGTTTCACATCTACGCTGTGGATCTTAGTGGATTGGCAAAGGAGCTCCAGGCCGCCGCTAAAAGCGAAGCAAATTGGGAAAAGGATGAGATGAGACCAAGTAATAGAAACCAAAACAAGAAGCAGAGGTGAAAGAAAGATACCCAAACTCCAGAGTGAGATGCATTGAAGCTAATTGGACGAATCGATTGGAGGAGAGAAGACGAGCGGAGAACACGAAAGGCGAGAGGCGATCGAGATAGAATTGGGTTTAGGGTTACCGATCCCTGTGATAGAGGCCCACCGAAGGAGCCTGCGGAGGACGGAAATAGTCTTATATACTCAAGAATATTAGCAATAACAAATTCGGTCAATAAAACAATTCATAAGTCATTATCAACAAAGATTAACTATTATTAATAATTATTATTATTACGAGGGGGCCAGATGGAGCTGTCGGGAGAGAAAGAAGCTGACGAGGGAAGAAGCAAACAGAGACAGTGAGGACGGTTCGGGTGGTTGAGGGAGGGAAGCTGTCGGGCAGGCTCCGTCTAAAAGGGAGTCTCGGCGGCTATGGTGCGGAGAAGCAGAGAGAGGGGGTGAGGATTTCAGCAACGGACTGATCGCAGCAGAGGGCTGTCGGGGGAGAAGCACGGAGGAGGAGGAGGAGGACGACGACGAGGCAGGAGAGCGACAGCGGGAGGGAAGGAGAGGGGGTAAGAAGCACGAAGGAGGAGGAGGAGGAGGAGGAGGAGGAGGAGGAGGAGGGAGGCGGGCTATCGGATGGCGGCAGCGGAGGAAAAGGAGACAGGAGAGGCGGGAGGCACATTTCCGGAGATAGAAGAAAGAGGAGGTACGTTCGTGAGGCGGTAGGAATCGCCGGAGGGCTGCCTTGCGCACGGATGCCGATCGCTGGCCACCGTTCGCCTTAGCAGGAGGAGGATTGCCGATAGGACGGATTAGGTTTTGCAGGGGTCGCGCCGCGCGCGCGGGGGAGTGATGGGGGCTCAACAGGGTCCGACCGAACCGACATCAACAAAAGCCCAAATCGGTCAGGTTTATGCGCGCCTGGGCCTCACCCAAATAAAGAGGCCCGACCGAACCCAATATAGGATAAAGGAGCTGATTGATGCCCTGTTAGGCTTTCATCTTCCTCAGGTAGCCCAAGTTTCTCAGTTGCGTTAATTGTGGTCTGGTATTAACAATCCCGCAAAAGGAGAGTTAATTGTGGGTTAAAATAGTCACAATATTCGTGCTAATTCAGGTAATACACCATTTACGTCACCAAACCAAAAAGAGGATTAATGTTAGAAAACTGGGATAGAATAATAATATTCGTATCATACTTGTTTATTGTTCACAATATCAACAAGACTCTCATCATATCAAATGGAATTAAAGATATATGTATGTAGTATATGTTCTAAGAACCTACCCTGTTGTTTGACTTATTCTGATTTATGTATGAATTTGCAACCTTTTTTTTTTTTGTGTCTTTTAAATGCTAGTTGAACCATCTCTTGTATGTATCAAGAAGACTTTTTGCTCGTAGGGATGTTATGCTAGTAAGTCTAAATCTATTATTTCTTTTATTTATGTTGACTTAAGTGCTACTAACTCTGTCACTGCTGGCTTGCTGCGAAACTCGACTCAAGTGGGTGTTATTGATGGACAGATGATATGATAGATTCATTTTTCTTTCCTTTTATTAGTGAATGCATGTTTTGTACATGCAATCATTTCTAAAAATCTGATCAGATATTACTGTCATGATTAAGCTCTGTGAGATGGAGTTATTACTGTCTTCTTGAAGCTAACAGTTGCTATCAAGCATCTTGAATTTAGATTTTTTTTCTTTTTTATAGGATAAATGATAAAAACAGGTTTTACTTTCATGGTTAATAATTAAGGGCTACGAGATGAGATGGTGGTGTTACTGTCTTCTTTAGCTTATAGTTGCTATCAATCATTTAAATTTAGGTGATGATTTGCTTAAGTCGTTCCACATAGGAACAACTTAAGTGCAACCTGCATATATCGAAAAGAACCTATAAAATAAAAAATTGATTAGTTCGAAACATGAGTGACCGAAAGCCCTAATGCCTCGGAAAGAACACTTGAGTAACAACAAATACTTTGAAGATAACAAAAATAAAAGGACTTTAAATAGTAAAAAAAAGAAAGATTGGTTACAAATCTAGCAATGATAGATTAACTAGGCATGGGGTCATTTAGCAAGCTTTGGCACGATCCATGCACACACTCAAGTTTTCTAAATTGATCATCGACATCCAAATTTTATCTACTCTGCTTGCCTTCAAAATGTTTATTGGTCCGGACTTATCCATCAATCGCTTTTAAAATTAATTAATTTGTTATTTTATGGATCCTTTCGACTTGCCTGAAGTTGTCCTCTGAGCTGATTCTTTATGGACTATGGTCAGAATGCCTCGTCACTTAGCTAATATAACAAAGATAAATTTAGCTAAGATAAACCTAGTTTTATACGATAAATTCAACACATTTATGTGTTAAGTAACTTGATATTTGATGATGACAATTGGTACTGATGGATTTGCTATTGTATTTGAAGCAGCAAAAATTTAGGAAAGAGACTCACGAGTACAATATGTTAGATTATATGATCTAATTAAATTAGGATAAAATATATTAAAGACCTAATTAGATTATTATTTTTTCTAGATCCTTTACTCTTGTCTATATAATGATAGGACCTTATAGAGATCTAATCATCTTTTTTTTTGATAGAAATATAATGCTACTTCCTATAGATCGATCGGTAGATTGACGATATGTTACTTCACATCCAAGGTATTTTATTTTTATCTCGAGAGGTACACATAATTTATTTTTAATCTATGATATTTGATGATTTATTTTTCATTATTATAGTTTATGCTTACACAAAAATATATAATTTCTTAATTTATTGTCAATCTTTATGTATTGTTAGTATCTATAAAATGTATTCATGGTAAATTATGAAATTGTTGGTGGGATTAAACCTCTTGCTTCCGTGAAACGTAAAATAAAAAATGAAAGGAAAAGGAAGGTTATTCCAAAGGTTTGATCTTTTTTAATTGTACAGCCGGATGCTATTGGGTCGTCCTACCATGCTTCAAATTTATCAGTTTTTTCGCTTTTGGCCAAACTTACTCATTCAACAATTATGAAGATGAACTAAATTGTTTTTGATAATGATGAGCTAAATTGTTTATGTATACTTGAACATTTAACCATTCAGATGGTATGTGTTTTTGTTTTTTTTCCACGCTCTATATGTTTTAGGAAGTATAGACAATGCCAAATGGCCGTCCTTTGCATTGTTTTTATGCATGCTAAGGTGCGTAACTCAACCCCATGTTATGGATCGTTCTTCACCTTGTTCATTTATAGATAACTCAGCCTCCTATAATGACCTGTATCTCATTATTCCCACATGTTAGTCAAATATCATGTTCACGTCGGTACCAATTTGATGTCACATTCGACATCTAGTGATTCTGACGCATCAACCAAAGGTCTCTCGTTTCATTAACATAAGTCTACATGTGATGACTATAATGCTCCATAGTTTGACGAGTGTGTTTATAATGAAATAAAAATCGATGCTTTTACACAATTATCCTATGGCTTACCTTCTCACTTAGCTTTTGATTATTTGAGATTCTTATAAAAAGTCCTTAGGTGCTCTCCTTAGATTATATCTAATAATTTAAATATCTTAATTGCTAACTCATCGAATAAGTCTATATTAGGCATACTATCAACATAGTTTTTGTTTTTATATGTTCCTTGAGCCCTCTCACCTCCTAACATCGACTTTATGACAAGATTAGATGTTGGACTCTGGTTAACTTCGAACCTATGATATGTCAGAGAACTAAAATATGTAACGAGAATTAAGGCTTTGTTAGAGAAAATAAACTTTATAAGAACTAAAGTTATATTTACTCTCGTATGGATGACAACATACGATATGTCAGAGAACTAAAATAAAATTATGTCAGAGAACTAAAATATGTAATGAGAATTAAGGCTTTGTTAGAGAATATAAGCTTTATAAGAACTAAAGTTATATCTAAGTATGGATCGACCCCAAAAAAATAAAATTATGTAAAATCAACCCAAAATAGATAATTCTTTATGGGCTCTATAACTTATCCAAAAGGTTTTGAGGGATAAGATAAAATCATGTGAGATCTATCAAAGCGGGCAACTCTTCATGAGCCTTGTACGTTTGTTGATGAAGATCAATAATAACTTATCAATATACTTATACAAATATATAATTAATATATTTATGTCCAATAATTTACTGGTAAACTGTAGTTTTTATTATACAATTATTTGCTTATAAGATTGAAAGTTATTAATTATTATTATTTATTATTTATGATTATACAGATGAAAGAACATGTATATCTAAGAGACAGTTGAAATAAATTAAATAATTAGATATGATCCTGACTCATTTTATATTGGATGCTAAGTATCATGTTTTAGCTTTGTGTATATTATGAACAAATAGGGAACTAATTCTTATATGATGCTAATTATTATCTTAGAATATGAATTATCCATGTTTTAAGTGATGCTAATTGTCATCTTAGAACATCAGCTATAATTTTTTTCAAAACAAATAAAAATGTTATTAAGTAGTTAAGTGGATATCTCTAAAATCGAGAACTCCGAAACCAATATCTCTCGAGAGAAAAAATAATGATGTCATGTAACTTGTATTTAATGAGATATAAAGAGAAATAAATTTTATATAGCAACAAATACTAGTATGCCATAATACGCAGCGGAATTAAATGAAAATCACAATCAAATAGAACACTAAGATTTATGTGGAAAACTCCTCCAACGTGAAGGGTAAAAACCATAGGGCAAACTAGAGATAATTCACTGTAAGAATAATGAATATACAAATCTTAATCTTTTGCCCAAAACCTAGGTAACAATCTCAAGAGAATAATTGGGATATAAGGATTATATTACTATGCATAATATCTAAATTCTCCCCAAGTAATCACAGCAAGAATCTACTGTATATCTGATCTAACCTGAGATGAGAACACTGCCTAGATGATTGTGAACAGTCTTTCTACATTGTCCTTGTCTTCTTCCCTTTCCTTTTCTTATTTTTCCGTCCTTTTCTCATCTTTTTGAATCATGTTGCTATTGTATTTTTTGCTCCTACTGTTGTAGTTTTCTTCTCTATTTTCCCAGCCACCACACCCCCTTTATTAAATCTAGGGTTAGATAAAAATAGGATGAGCTATGGGCTATTAAAGCCTACTATGGGCTGAACTTGTGGGTTGTCAGCCCAACAGTCTCCCCCTTCAGCCCATAAGGGAGGTTGTCTTATAACTCCTCAATGTGAAGTCATGTCGATCAGCTATTAGCATATCTCCTGTCTTTCTTTTGGTAAGGTCTTTGTCAACATATCTGCTCTGTTGTCATATGTGTGAATTTTCTAAAGCTGCAACTACTTCTCTTCAAGTACATTTTGAATCCAGTGATATCTGACATTAATATGTTTTGACTTGGAATGAAAAGTTGGGTTTTTACACAAATAGATGGTACTTTGACTATCACAATTCACCATATAGTTTTCCTATTTCAGTCTCAATTCTTATAAGAATTCTTTCATCCGTAACATTTCTTTATAAACTTCTGTAGCACCAATATATTCTGCCTTTGTGGTGAAGATAGCAATATACCTTTGCAATCTGGATTGCCATGACACAGCTCCCTCTGCAAAAATAAGTATAAAACATAATATAGACTTCCTCGTATCAATATCTCTTGACATATTTGCATATGTGTAACCTATTAACACAGGTGGTCTATCTCCAAAGCTTAAACAAACCTTAGAGCTCCCTCTAAGATATCTAAAGATCCACTTCACTACTACCCAATGCTATTTGCTTGGATTTGCAAGAAATCTGTTAGTAACACCCACTGCATATGCGAAGTCCGGCCTCGTACATACTATTGCATACATTAAACTTCTAACTACTAAAGCATGAGGAACCTTTTACATTTTCTCCTTCTCCTCATCACTTACTTTGCTCTGGGCATAACTTGAAGTGACCTACAAGAGGAGCACCAATTGGCTTTGCATTGCTCATACTGAATCTTTCCAATACCTTTTCGATGTATTTCTTCTGTGACAACCAAATATTCTTATTTTTTCTGTCATGAGAAATCTGTATGCTCAATATTTGTTTTGCTGGCCCCATGTTCTTTATTATAAAAGACTCACTCAGTTCCTTCTTTAACTTATCAATTGTAGATATATCTTTTCTAAGAATAAACATGTCATTAACATAAAGTGTGAGAATAATAAAATCCTCACCAAATCATTTGATGTACACACAATGATCTAAAGTTATTCTTTTGTATTTATTTTCAATCATAAATGAATCAAACTTTTTATACTATTGTCTTGAAGCTTACTTCAGCCCATATAAGCTATTCCTTAACTTGTAGACAAAATTTTCTTTACCTTTGACTTTGAAGTCTTCTAGTTGCTCCATATAAATTTCCTCCTCCAAATCACCATAAATAAAAGGTGTCTTTACATCTAACTGCTCAACCTCCAAGTCTTGGCTAGCAGTAATACCAAGAGCAACACGAATAGAAGATATTTTAACAACATGAGAAAAAATCTCTTCAAACTCAATACCTTTCTTTTGATCAAAGTCTTTTATAACCAATCTAGCTTTGTACTTTGATTGAGAATAATATTCTTAAATATTCAACCTAAAAACTCACTTGTTCTTCGAGGCCTTCATTCCCTTTGGTAGTTGCGCAAAATCATATGTATGGTTCTTTTGCAGAGCATCCATTTCTTCATACATAGCAACTAACTATTTTTTTTTCTACTTACTTTTAACTGCTTCCTAGTAACTCTTTGGTTTACCTACATCGATAAGCATCACATATTCATTTGTAGAGTATCTTTTGGAAGGTTGATGTTGTCTATAAGATCTTCTCAACTAAGGTTCTACGAGAAGTTACTCTCCAACTTCTTCTTACTGAACATGTCCCGTAGGTAGATCAATATCGGGCTCTACACCATCTTCCTGCACATCTCCCCTATCACCCCGATATATTGGAGGAGTAACTGGGTCACAATTTACTAATCATTCTGTAGAAGCCTTGGTTGGTGCGTTCTTCTTCAAATCCTCAAAGATTTGATCCTAAAAAAAGACCACATCTCTGCTTCTGAACACCTTCTGCTTTTCTGGATCTCAAAACTTATAACCAAATTGATCATGTGAATAGCCAAGAAAAATATATTCTTTTGTCTTACCATCCAGCTTGGACCTCTCATTGTTTGGAACATATGTAAATGCACGACAGCCAAACACTTTCAAATGCTTGTAAGAAAATCTTTTCCTGACCATACATGCTCTACAACATCACTATATAGGGCTGTATATAGTGATAAGTTGATCACATCAACTGCAGTCCTCAAAGTCTCATCCTAAAACTTTTTATGTAGTTTGGCCTATGAAAGCAAACATCTGATCTTTTCCATGATGGTATAGTTCATCCTCTCTGCAATTGCATTATGCTAAAGTGTACTAGGAACTATCATCTTATCTTAGATGTCATGTGACCTACAATAATCATTAAATAATCCAGTATTTCATCTTATGTATTTCAATTACCTTTTTGTCTCCCTTTCAACCCTGATATGAAACTCTTTGAAGACGTTAATAACCTGATCTTTTACCTTCATAGCATAGGCCAAAACTTTTATGGAAAAATCATATATAAAAGTGACAAAATAAAAGTGCACCACTAATACTAGAAACATTAATAGATCTACTAGGAGTTTTTGTCCTCAAAGGACTACATACATCTGTATAAACATAGTGTAAGGTATGCATTTTTCTAGATAAAATAGGACTAGCAAATAAAATTCTGTGTTGTTTATTAGTCAAACAATCAATATAAGGGTTTGTACCTTTGAGGTCTGGCAATATCTCTCTCCTGGAAAGAGCTTGCAGCCCTTTCTCGCTCTTGTATCCCAATCACCTATGCCACAACTCTATGCTAAAGTCTTTCTCTGTAGTATTTAACTGCTCACCATAAGTTTTGGCTTGCAACCTATATAATGTGTGACATTTCTTTCCACTAGCTATAATAAGAGAATTCTTACTGAGCTTTCATTGCCTTCTGTGAAATATGCTATCATAGTCTTCATCATCTAGCCTTCCAATTGAAATTAAATTCAACCTTAAGTCAACCACACTCCTCACATCCTTAAGTACCAACTTGCAGCCAAGGTTAGTCTTTATGTAGATATCACCCATACCAATAATGTATGCCGTGTCATAGTTGCCCATTTTGACAACACCAAAATTTCAGACTTGTAGGTAGAAAAAACTTCCTCCATGGTGTAGCATGATAAGAAGCACTTGTGTCAATCACTCACTCAAGATCCTGACACACACAAGAAAAAATATCATCAGAAGGAGATAAAATCAAATAATCACCACCCTACATAGTACTCTCTTTTGACTTTGTAGACTCAACTTCTTTTTCCTTTTTCTTACTCTTCTTAGGTTGCTTGCATTGGTTCTTATAATGTCCTTTCTCACCAGTAAACAATAGCTTTTCTTGATTTTAACTTAGTTCTATCCATGTGTGAACTACTTCTATTCTTGAACTTTGACCTTCCTCTGTTCTCTAAGATAAGTGCTTGTGAATCAATCTGAGATGTTACTGAGTTCTTTCTTCTCAACTCCTCATTCAACAAATTTCTTGTTACTTGACTCATAATAACAATACCATTTGATACAGAATTACTGAGGGAAACCACAATTGTCTCCCAACTTTCTGTTAATGAACTGAGAAGTAACAATGCCTATAACTCATTATCAAAAAATATTTTTATAGAGGATAACTGGTTAGTGATATTCTGCATTTCATTCGAATGCTTAGCAATAGAAACACCTTCTTTATATTTCATGTTCACAAGTTTTCTGAGTAAGAAAGCTTTGTTGCTAGTTATTTTTCTTTCATAGAGACCTTTTAACTTTTTCCAAAGAGAATATATAGAACTTTAAATAGAAACATGGTGAAAGACACTATCATCGAGTCACTATCGAATAAACTCGACTATTTTTCCATCTAATCTCTTCCACTCATCATCTGTCATAGTTACAGGCTTTGTATTATCCCCCTGCAAAGGTCTATACAAATCTTTGCAATACAAGAGATCTTCTATTCTTAGTTTCCATATCATGTGAGAAATACTATCCACCTCAATGTTCAAATACAAAAAATTAATTCACCAAAACCTTGCTCTAATACTAGTTGATGGATATAAAGAGAAATAAATTTTGTTTATGAACAAATACTAGTAGATCATAACACACAATGGAATTAAATGAAAATCACAATCAAATATAACACCAAGATTTATGTGAAAAATCCCTCCAACGTGAAGGATAAAAACTATGGGTCAAACTAACGATCACTATAAGAAAAATGAATATACAAATCTCAATATTTTGCTTAAAACCTAAGCAATAATTTTAAGAGAATAACTGAGATACAAGGATTACATCACTATGCACTATCCAAATTCTTTCCAAGTAATCACAACAAAAATCTATTATAGATTTGATCTAATCTGATATGAGAATACTATATAGATGATTGAGAATAGTCTCTCTACGTTGTCCTTGTCTTCTTCTCCTTCCTTCTCTTATTTTTCTATCATTTTCTTCTCTTTTTGAATCACATTGTTGCTATAGTTTTCTGCCTCTACTACTATAGTTTTCTCTCTATTTTCACAATCACAACACCTCCTTTATTAGATTTAGGGTTAGGTGAAAAAAAGACGAGGCTATGGGCTGTTAAGGCCCATGGGCTGAACTTGTGAGCTGTCTGCCCAATAGTATTTTGGTTCTCTAGTATAAGGTGCTAATTGTTTTGCTGCTCAATTAACTTCTAAAAACATACAATAAGTAGAGAAAATTTAAAAAATACTTATATAATACCAAATATTTCTAATAATATTTAAGATACTCAAAATAATTCTTTGTTTAATGTCTGACCCCACTTGCATTGGTGTCAGTCTCATCATCTTTCCTCTGAGCAACACCTATCTACTTCATATAACAAAAATGGTAAGAAGCTATAATTAGATAGGACAAATGAACTATCTGACGCTAATTCTACTAAGTATCTTATCATCTTAGAACTATGCAACAGATGCACAATAAGCCAAAGTTGGGACAATTTCGAATTTGAATAAAAATATGTATTGCTCCATTCATACTTGTGGCAAAACTAGTACTCGACTCCGAAACTGACAATACACCCAAAAAAACTCAATTAGAAATTCTAATGTCCCAATGGATCACCTTAATCAAGCTTAATTCCTTATATAAGCATCTTTATTAATACTTCCAAATGCTTTTGTCATGGAAATGCACATTCTCATCGTACTTTCGATTCCATGATCGAATCTGTGATGGTTTGTAAACTGATCAACTTAGTGGCCGTGTGGAACGTGTCATTGGTTACGTTTGCGTTGTTGACCCGTCCATCGATTAGAGGGGATAGTCGCGTTGCGCCCGCAATACATTCCCCTCAAACCCCCGACGATACGCACGAGAGAGAGAGAAGAGAGAGAGAGATAGAGAGAGATGGGGATGTTGGGGACGGTGGTGGCATATCCGGAGGAGGTGTACCCGCTGGTGAAGCTGAAGCTGGCGGCAGATCGGATACGGCGGCAGATCCCGGCGGAGCCACACTGGGCCTTCTCCTACTCCATGCTCCAGAAGGTCTCCCGCAGTTTCGCCCTCGTCATCCAGCAGCTCGGCCCGCAGCTCCGCAATGCTGTACGCCCCTTTCTTTCCCTACCCACCCCCTCCATTCCCCTCATTCCTCCCTTCTTTGAATGTGAATCCTCCGTTTCTTGCCGTCGTATGATCGTGTATCCCATCTCTTGATATGCGGAGGCTTCTGCCTCTGAAGATCAATTTGTTATGGATTTGTTTTCTGCCTCACGAGATCTGAATCCGGTCTTCTCATTTCCTATCCTTTTCAGATTTGATGTTGATCTATAAACGTGTGCCAATTTACAATATATATTTATGGATGTATGTCGGATGTCAATGTGCCATCACGCTGGATCTCCTTTTTTGGTTTTGATGTTAATTTATGGATATGTTCTGATGTCGAACTGCTACAACATCGAACCCTTTTCAGGTTTCTCGTGAGGTTGTCCTGTCGGTGATATATAAGCCTGCTTGTGATGTTGGTCCGATAACAGTTAGTCAAGGATGTTAGAATGATACATATAGGATCGACCAATCAAGAATCTAAAAGATCACATTGGGCATTCTCTTGTAGCAGTTACTCAAGGATGTTAGAATGAGAAATAGATAGGATCGTTTAAGCATTGAAGTAATAACATGGGATATTCTCTGGTAGTAGTAAAGGATTTTAGAATGAGAAATAGATTTTTGGGTACTGGACCTGTTTCGGCAATCAGTCAGACCAGTATGTACCAATTTGTTCTGGTATACAGACACATGGTATATCGGTATGGGCCGGTGTTTTGGCTAGGAAGAAAAAGAGGGACAATAGGAGGGGATGGTGGAGGAACAAAGGAGGAAGAAAGAGGAAGGAATAAGGAATAAGAGGAAGCAGCGGAGGAGAAAGAAGAAGAAGGAAGAAGAAGAAGAAAGAAGAGGAGGACAAGAAGCAGCAGCAGCATACCTGGGAAGCAGCGGCTCCAGTGGCATCGTACGCTAGAAGAGGGAATGATCATTCGATTAGTTTCCTTGAAATCAACTAGAATGAACTTATCACACCTTCTGTTTTCTCTGTGATATGCTCTTACAAGTAACCTCTAGTCATAGCTAGGGGTTGTCACTTGCAGGCTAGTACTGAAATTTAGTACTTTATGTGTTTGGTTACTTTTGAGACAGAATTATCATTAATCACTGTAATATCAACACGGCACAAACAAAGCTTAGCCAACTTCACTAAGATCACAAAGACTAACTCGATACTTCATCTCTTTTTTGCTAAATGGAAAACATATCATCACAAATTTTAGGTGCTAAATTGCTTACTAACAAAGCAATGCAAAGTTTGACCATGTGGTTCTTCTGTATGGAACATGTCTATGAAAACAAAAGTTCCAGTAACTATGCCAGCAATCCTCAGGGATCCCTTCTTTTAATTCTCTCCGAGCAAATGTTCCAAAATGTGGTTGCGGTTATGCAACCTCCAAGCACAAGGTCTATGCAGCCTAAAATAAAGGAATATTTCTAAAATGCAGCTGCATGCAAGGTGGCATAATACTAGGTTCATGTATACAATTCATGAAGCCAGGTACAATTCTATGGTTCCTTTTTCTCATTTATGCCACTATAATTTACTAGTATTGTTGTTATTAGTATGCAAAAATAAATGGGCCATCATTCTATCATATTAATCTCTAGTCTTATTTCAAAGTTTTTTTTCTTTACAGATAAACATTACTAATTAATAAATTATAGTTGAGGCAGTTGCCCCTGTAAAGTTGATAATAGCACATATCATATGCAATGCTATATCTTCTCTAAAAACCGGGTGATTGTTAGATAAAGATATCAAGATGTGAGGACTTGGTTCCCATTATCTTTGGTTCTCTACATATTTTTCCATAAGCATGATATTTTTGCCCTTTTTCTGTTTAATGAAGTACATATGGTTTAAATTTGTGAGATAATTTGATCCATTTCATAATCTAGCTAATTACTTTTCCCAGTGTCTTAGAGATTGTTTTGAGTTGTTACATATAGATTTTCCTACCTCTTGTCTTGTATGTTTGGAGTATATTGCTGTTCACCCTTTATAATTATGTGCAATATACTATATATCCGGTAATGTATATACATGCTTATTTTTGTAGCTAAAACCTCTCACCTTTATGTTTGTTGAAATACATATGGTTCAAATTTGTGGGAGAATATGATCCATATCATAATCTAGCTTATAACCTTTATTGATGGCTTAGAGATTTTCTTTGAGTTGATGCATATGGATATTCCTACCTCTTGGCTTGTATGTTTGGATTATATTGTTGTTCACCCTATATAATTATGTGCATTATACTATTCTTTGTGAATGCATCATATGTCCAGTCATGTATGTACATGCTTATGTTTGTAGCTAAAACATCTCACCCTTATGCTCACTACTACAGGAATTCTAAATGCACCATGAAAAATGCTCTTGCTCATAAATCAACTTGAATGACTTTCTATGAAATGCAAACACAATTGTAGAAGAGAATGCATTATTTTAGTTAAACATTAGAAACAAAACCATCTTATAATGATAATCCTTGAGAAAATTCAGGCATTTAATATGTTTCTTCAGCTTGGTTCAATTCATGTTTATACAGAGGTGTCTGAAATTCCTATAATTGCATTATATGGATTTTGCCTAAAGTTTTTAGGATCTAATTTCTTTATCTGCCTGGTAAGTTAATGCATTTTTTCATGAGAGGCACTTGTTCCTCATGATGTGTACTTTTATATATAGGTTGGTTAATTGGCTTCTGTTGTATATGAAATTTGTTTGAGTTTGAAAATTAATGGAGATTAACTTTGAAATGTTTTATGATATTCTGAAGGGTACTAGATCTGGATTTTGAATATATTGTGTGAACATCGCAAACAATTTCCCTAAATATGAAGGTTATCTAGGCCAAACTTGTGTAGATAGTACAAATTTCTATTGCCTTAAATGGAAATGCAAAAAAATTTTCCTTAACACGACCAAGAGACAAAACCTGGAGATAGAAGGTTCTATACTTCTATGTATAGCCTATTTATTTTAATTGGATAGAGTTGTCCCATAAATGGCATGATTTGTTCTTGCTTAAGCTTAGATATTTACCTCGGCTTTGTATAAGGAAACAGTGTGACATTTGTGATAACTATATGCAGTATTTAGTTACCTTCTTTTTCTTCTTCTTAATTGTAGAGGAATACTTGAGCATTTGCAATTATAGTTGGGGTGCCTCAACCAAATTATTTATTTTTTATTACTAAACTTTTTCGCTTGTTATATTAGTCAATTTTTTGTTGCTTTATATAATTGGCATTTTTTTGGTCTTTATTCCTCTAAAGGCCTGATCTTAACACAAAGGATTCAAAACAACTTCTTACTTTCTTAGTCTTTTAGTTTCAATCTGAAAATTATGGTGTTAAATTCTTTTGCATGAATCAATTGCATCTTTCATATGACTTGCAGCCTCCATTTCATCTTCCCAAATTTTATAGCATAAACATGGTAAGCTCAGTGAATCATTCCTTGTGAATCTACTGATAATTTCCTTGTGGTGATTGTACTTTAATTTTACTTGAGTGCATTTATGATTCTTGATAAAAGAAATATAACAAAACTTATTTATAGCTCAAGAAATTATGAAACATCACAATGAAATTCTTTCATGCTCTTATGATGCTTTTGCTCGGGACTTATCTTGTGAACGTTGACCTATAAATGATTGAGAAGATAAATGCCAGCTCTAGACCTATCTGTTTATATATCAATATTGAGTACTAGATTATGGTTAACTATCTTAATTTTCCTATGGTCTTATTTCTTTTATTTTAATTTGTGACTCTTTTTTATTTTTAAATTGTTTTCTTTTTTTGAAAAATAGTTTGTCATGGTTGATATATTTAATAACTTACGTTCGTCTTTTGTAGGTTTGTGTTTTCTATCTAGTTCTCAGAGCTCTGGATACTGTTGGTTTGTACATGCCCCTTTTATTTTACAACATATTTGTCCTTGCTGAAGTGTATATCTATCTTTCATATCTGGAGGAGGTTCAGTGACTTCAGATTTTTTATCCTTGTATCTACTTTTTACCACTATCTGGTCAGATGTGCCAATATTGCTGACTAGAAAATAATTTGCCCTTGTAGAAGAAGTATATTATTATGCTGCAGAGAGAACATGAATCTAGGAATCATTTTCAAGTCGCCAAACACTACAGTTTGCTAAAAGAAGTTTACTTTATTAAATAAGTCAAATTCATGGTTGACCTAGTGAAGGTAATTAGCAAAATTGGCCAAATGTCTTTAGAGTATTGATTTTCATAACTAATGGCAGTAAAATATTTCTATGAGTTTATGAACATGAAAAAAGCAATGGTTCTTCTAACTTTATTAACTTCCCTGTACTAATACCCATAAATTAAAGTCCAAACAATTTGGGATTAGCTAACAGACTAAGAAAAGACTGAAGGTTTTCCCAGGAATGGTTCTGAGTATGCAGTTCTTTGGTGTCTTTTCTCTTCAGATAAGACAATGATAGAACATGAAAAAAATTGCAATGCATCAGAAAAAGGGTTCTTTGCTAACTTTATCCTTTTTCTTAAACTAACATTCTCAACTTAAAACCCAAACAAATTGGTTTTAGCTAACAGACAAAGAAAATAATTGTCAAGACTTTTCTAGGAGTGGTTGTGTATGTAGCAGTGATTTCAATAGGCGCTCGGGCGAGGCAAGGCGAGGCCTGAGCGCCTCGCTTCATGTCTAGGCACCTCGCTTCAAAGAGGCGCTGCTTGGGCGCTCGCCCGAGCCTAGGCGTCGGGCGCTTCGAGCGAGGGCCTGGGTTAAACCAGGCGACCGAATCATATTTTTAGGTCTGGTTGGTCTTCGGTGCTTTAGTTGGTTCAATCGAACCAACTAAATCACTGATATCAAGCTCCCTCTCGTGATTTTCCCGACTTCCCCAACCCTAACACTCGCGATTTTGCTGTCGAGATTTCTTCTCCGTTGTCGCTGCTCTCTGCTGCTGTTGCTACTGTCGCTGCTCGCCGCTACTGTCACTACTCGTCGCTGCCACAATCGCTGCTCGCCGACTACTCGCCGTTGCCACAATCGCTGCTCGCCGCTATTATCGTCGCTCGCCGCCCCTGTGGTCGCTCGCTGCTGCCGCCGCTCGCCGCTCCCGCTCCAGCTACTGCTGTCGCCTGCTACCGCTGTCGTTGCCTCAGCAGCCTCGGTCTTCTTACACTCTTCTCACTATACTGTTAACAGTATATTAACAGTATACTGCTAACTGTATACTAATAATAGTATTTTTATTTATTAGATTAATAATATATTATTTTGATTTTAATACTATTAATTTTTATTTATTTAATAGTATATTTTTTTATTTAAAAAATAAAAAATACTATTATGATTTAGTACCTAATTTTCTTAATTTAATAGTATATTTTTTATTTAAATAATTATATTTATTAATTATATTATATATTTTTATATTTTAGCTCCTCGCTTCGCTCGGGCGAGCGCCTAGCACCTCGGGCGTTTTTGGACCTTGACGCCTTTTGGCGCCTAGCGCCTTTTAAATCACTGGTATGTAGTTCTTTGGTGTCTTTTACTAAAAAAATGAGGATGCTGAAATCTAATAAACCACCTACATATTGATTTATTTATATAAGCTTATAAAACATAAATGAGTTCTCAATAGACTTTCAACTTAATTGGATATCATTACTGCATTATTTGTCATTTTCTTTCAAGTTTCTGTTTGTGGATCTTGTGTCCTTTCTTTTTCCATCGAAAAGGAAAAACAACATTGTGGGAATATATTGGAAACAGGGACAACTGAATACAAGAAATATAACATGCTTACAGATTAAAGCTTCTGCATAAAGTACATAATAGGCTTCCAAATTAATTTGGCTAATCTTACTATTAGTTACAGTCTGCCAATAAACTACAATATTCTGTGGTTGCTAATCTGCACCTATGCATGGAAGGCATGTTCGCTTTCTTTAAATTCTTATTATTTTCAATTAGCCTAAAATCATGTGACCATCTCTTAGCTTTTATGGGTATTGCAGAGGGTTTTACATTTGTCAGCTTGGTATATTCCTGAGATATCGTAGGTTTACATGTAACCTATATTTTAACAAATTGCAGAGGATGATACTAGCATACCTTCTGACATCAAAGTGCCGATTCTACAGAATTTCTATCGCCACATATATGATTGTGAATGGCATTTTTCATGTAAGTACTTCTAATAGAATGTTTTTAACCTTTGAGCATTGCTTGAGCTAAGATGCCAAGTTTCCATATATCATTAACTTTTGCATTACATTCCATATTTTGTTTCGAGGAATGTGTTTGGAGTTGCAGAATCTGTCAAGTGATTTTTTTTTTTCACTACATTGATGAATCCTATTAGTCCACTTGGCTCCTAAGATCTTTTTTTCTATGTGCATCTTATTGCTAAATGTCATTTACAGTCTTACATAATGCTATGAAGTATGGACACGCACTACAAATAAGACAGATACGGATATCTGGAGGCCATGAATCTTGCAGAAAGAAACAACATGACAATTAATATACATAGTCATATAGTTTGTAAGCCATGGTTTTAAATCTCGATACTGGCATACCGGCGACACATGGTATGCTGGCATACCAGTCGGCGCCAAGAAGGGGGAGGAGGAGGTGAAGAAGAATAAGAGGAGAAAAAGAAGAGGAGGAGAAGTACTAGAGGCAATGAGCATTGAGACATTAGGTGGCAGCGGTGAGCAGCAGGTGGTGTGTGACAAACAGCATGAGCATCGGGTAGCCACGGATGATGTGAGCAGTAGATGACACAACAAGAATAGGGATTAGGAGAAAGGGAGAGAGAGGAGGGAGGTTTAAAGATTGTTGCCACTGTCAAAATCTAAAGAAATTGAAATGGACTGTGCAAAATTGAAAGGGGCTATTGGCTTAAATTAACCCGTACGAGCTCATTGTGACAGTACGGGTTAATTTAGATTTTGACCCGCACTTGATATGGACCGGTATAGTTACATATATAAGTTCATATATGTAACTTATAATAAGAACTAAAACCATTCACATAGAATAAAATTTCACAAAATTACTTTGCATATGTACATAGAGGGTGAGCCTTGGTGCCACCATAAGGTTGCTCTATTGTGGCCTGAGCGACAAGGAGCTGACTCATCGAAACAACCTCATTAGTTACAAGGGTAGTATTGTGCATGGATCTAAATCTCGTGTGTACCAATAGATACTATACATGTACTTAAACCTTCGTCCATATCGATAGTCTGGACTAGTATGCTGATCAAGTGATTTCGCTCAATCCAATCTTAAACTAGGCTACCATCTGATGAGCTCACCATACTGTGCATATGATATAGTAAGCAGACTGGTGTGTATTTGTATCAATCAGTAATCTACTACCTGGTATTGGTACTATTTTTTTAATTTTGGAAGTCATGAATGTCTTTCCTTTTTTTTTTCCTTTTCTTCTCTCTTTTTCTTTTTTTTGTTAGGCACTCTCTGTTCGTCCACCACATTGCCGTTGCCACATCATCTTCCATGACCACCATCACCACCTTGTCTGCTTCTGTGCATACCTCCTCGTCTTCCATGGCATGCTGCCACCATCACCACCTTGTCTGCTTCTGTGCATCTTTGTTGTCACTGCCTCCTCCTCTCTCTCTCCCTCTCTCTCTCTCTCTCTCTCACACACACACACACACACACAC